CAGCGCGGGCAACATCTGCAACCACTTCTTTACCCGAGACTTCCTCCAGACTGTCATCAGGTGCGGTGGGGGGGGTGGCCTGTCCAGGTCAGAGGGGAGCCAGCTGGTGGCTTAGTTATGGAAGGCTCTCACTGATGAGCCAGGTTGCCTCGCTGCAGTGTGGGCCCCACTGCCCACAGGCACTGCCTCTATCTCTGTACCCTTTTGCCCACGCTCTCGGGTTCTGGGGTGTGGGCAGGAGGGATCTGTGGTGGTCTGTCTAGCTGCCCTTCTCAGAGACCTGGGGCATACTGTAGCAGGTGAGTCATCTTGGGTGTGCCCCCCTGTTTTCCCCTCCCCGACACCCAGGGAGTTTGAACCCTCGCTGAAGCTTCACGTAGCTATCAAGAAGGTCCCGTATGTGGATGAGGAGGGGAACCTGGTGAAGCCGCTGAAACCCAATGGGATCAAGATGGAGAAGTTTGTGTTTGATGTGTTCCCATTTGCCAAGTTAGTAGGAGAAAGTTTGTTTATCTCTCCCTGCTTTGGGGTGGGGGCTCAGGCTCTGTGAGGTGCAGTGGACGGGCCCCATTTCCAGGTTGAGGTCCCCAGAGCACTGTTGTCCTTGAGAGAGCAGTCCCCAGGATGGGGGCGTGGGGAACATCTGGGGGAGTTGAGATCTTTGGGGGTAGGAGGGAGTGCTTTGTCTTCACACTGAAGTCCCCTGCCAGTCTGAAGTGATGTGCCAAACTCACAGAACAGACCTCACCTGCCCGGGGCTTCTGGGACAGGGCTGCTGACCAGCTCACCCTTGCAGGAATTTTGTGGCCTTCGAAGTGCAGCGGGAGGAGGAGTTCGCGCCCCTCAAGAACTCGGACTCTGCAGACAGAGACAACCCCTCCACCACCCGGCGGGCCCTACTCACACAGCACTACCGCTGGGCACTGCAGGCTGGCGCCCACTTCCTAGACACCTGCGGGTCCCGGCTCCCTGCATCACCTGGGTGAGTGGGGGGTCAGGCCGTGCTGGGGAAGGAACTTCTGCTGTGAGTCCATCAGTGAAGCTCGGGAAGGCGGCGGGGCTAAGTGCTCACTCCCATGTTGGGGCCTGACTGCTGGGCAAGGGACAGGAGGCCATCACTTCACCATTTCAGAGTCTCTCTAGCTGCCATCTCATGTGTAGATCCAGCTGCCCCGGCTCTGCAGGGGACACTTGGGCATGCTTTCTGGCTCTACCCCAAGACTGTCACTCAGGCTGGGAGTCAGACTGGTGCTGGGGTCTGAAACCAGAGGACCAGAGAGACGGAGAAAAGGCTGCAGAGAATGGGATCTGGGTCAATTCTGGCCAGGGCTGCTTGAGGGGCCTGAGGGAGGGAGGCAGGGAAGACCCCGTGGCTGGCCCTGTTCGTGTATGCTCAGCTCTGGGCAGGGAGGACCCCGTGGATCTACATGCTAACGAATGACTCTCATCCAGGCTGTCAGGAAGTGAAGATCCCCCAGCCATGTGCGAGATCTCACCCCTAGTGTCCTATTCTGGAGAGGTGAGGGTGGGCACTCTTCTGGACTTTTCGGGGTCAGTTGGGAGGGGTGGCGGAGAGCCCCAGCTCTGCTTTAGTTAGCAGTGGAGACAGTGGGCTCTTAGATTGAAGAGGACGGTGCTGGGCTCCCCGAGGCCTTGTGGGGGCCCAGGTGGGAGGGTGACCCAGCTCAGGAGCCTGGTTTGGGCTGGCCCAGGGCAAGCTCGGCCTGTCTCTGGGCACTTCAGACTAGGACTTGGCTACAAGAATGTCTCTTCACCCTTCCTGACTCCGGGTGGCATTGGGAGAGGGTTCAGGGGGTGGGTGTAGCTCCTGTTGGAAGAGGGGACATGGTGCCTAAGAGGTGGACTGCTTGCTTACAGGGTCTGGAGGAATACCTGCAGGGCAGGGAGTTCCAGTCCCCGCTCATCCTGGACGAGGCCTGGACCCAGCACTACAGCCCCAAGAGTCCTGACTCGCTCCCACCTCCTCCTCCTGAGGTTTGAGCTGAGACTCTGGGCAACTTATGGAACTGACAGTCGAAAGGAATATGTGTGCTGACTCCAGGGAGGGTTGCAGGGTTGAAAGGTGGCCAGGGGCTGGGCCCAAGAGGGAGCCATGGTCTCTTCCCCTGGCCCCGTCCACCATGCGGCTACCTGAGGCAGGGCCCTGGTGCTTTTCTGCTGAGACATAAATGAAGGCACCATTTGGATGATGTGTGCCTAAGGGGGCGGCCCCCTGCCTCCACATCAGCTAAGTTAACCCAGGCCCACAGCAGAAGGGGACTAACACTCCGGTAGAACTAGTTCTGCTGGGAGAACATGGCCTCAATGACACCATAATGTGAAGACCCAGATATGAAGCCCGCTCTCCCCTCCTGCTTCAATTTCCCTGGGCACCTTAGGCTCAGGTCATGTTGGTGTCCCATTGACGTTGGGGTTTCAGCTGCTGGATCATGAACTTCCTCAGGACCAGTGGGACCAACACCCGGGGTGGGTCAGGCTAGAAGGTGTGTGGAGGCTGGCCCGGCCGGACGCGCTGGCCCTCCCTAGGTTCAGTCACTTCTGACACATTTGGTGCTTAAGCTGCTCCCCAGCTTCCGTGTGGGGACACAGCTCCCTGACTTGGTGCCGCTCAGGCTGCCCCCTGCCTGCATGAGGGGGCTCCGCCTGAATGAAGTCCAGTGTGGACAGTGCCCCACATCTCCACAGATCACAAGAGCGGCTCCCTTCATACCACCTGCCGCCGCTGAGTCTCCTCATCCCCTCCAGCCCACCCCTACTCCAGCTCTCAGGTCCTGTCTGGGGGACCTCCTTCCATTGGTACCCCCAGGGACAGGCGGGCGTAAACGAGGTTGGACCCAGGGGAGCCCTCAGGCTTGCTGGTGGCTGCAGTGGTTGGCCCAGAGCCTGGTGGAGAGCTGGGCTCTACCAAGGCCCTGCAAACCTGTCAAATCATGTGCCTTAGGACCCAAATTATGTGCCCCCCACTGGAGCAGAGGGCCAGTGCCCTGCCCCCAGCCCTGGACATTACAGCTGCTGTTCACCACAACTGGAACCAATATGCAACCTCTGTCATGAGGGAGCTTCAGAAAGTTCATGGAAAAATGTAATGAAAAAATTACGGAACACTTCTACCAGCTTCTTGGAACCCTTTCATTCTAGTTCAGTGGGTACATTCTTGAGTTTGTTTTAAAGCTTTATATTTTAATTAAAGCTTCACCTAAAGGTGCAAGGATGGAGTTCTGTTGTGGCGCTGTAGGATAAACACTAGACTTAAACTTTGGTGGTTCAAACCCACCAGCCACTCCTTGGAAATCCTACACAGAATTGCTCTGCATCGGAAATGACTATGGCACTTCAAAACAAAGTTGCAAGGACCGTATAGAGTCCCGTGTACCATCTTGTTTCCCTTAGTGGCTTCAGCCCCTTGTAAGCCAGATAAGCATCCATTCCCTCAACATGAAGGTAGCCCTGGCTTCTGCCTCACCCTAACCCCCATAAACAGTACAGGACAGCTTGGAGGGGAGGCTGAGTTGGAAATCTTGATTTTGTGCACGCACATTTGTAAATAACGCACTGTGATTGATCCTGCCCGCAGGAGTGTGGTTTTGGACCAGCATGTCACAGGTCTGAATCAGGGTGGGAGCTGCTAGGAGCCCCTTGGGACAAGATGTGTACATATGGCAGGTGTTTGCCGCCAGCCTCTCATGCTCCTGTCTAGCTCTTCAGGGTCTCAGGGACCTGGGGACAGGGCCTGGAATCTTCCCTTTGGGTGAATTCTCCAGGCTGAGCGCAGGGACCCGTGGCTTAGGACTGAGAGCTGTACCTGGGAAGAGAAAAGGCCGGCAGGAAAACAGGAGCTTTCAGAGTCCAGTGAGCCAGGATATTGTGTGGGAGCTGCAAGCTGGGGACACAGGTGGTGCAGACTGGGACCAGGAGCTGGCCTCTAGCCCCGCAGGAATTGTGAAGAACTTAACGTACAAAGAAAAGCCCAATATTGGTGCAAACAAATGTCAATCGTGAGTCGATCCGCCTTGAATTGGTGTCAGGCAGCGACAACCCAAACCTACAGGGAAGGCGCTCAGAAAAGGACAATGGATGTGAGTTGTGTGGGTCACTTGGCGTCTCAGGGTTGGTCAACCACCAAGGACATGTCACACGCCCTAAATACAGACTCGAGTCATATCCTGGCGTTCCTGCTTTCCAAAACTGGCTACACATATAATTAATTACCCCCAAAGAAGCCAATGCCTGAGGGAGAAAAGGGCTATTAGACCGGAAGGTGACTCCAGGAACTGCTTGGAACAGTTCAAGATAGGTCAACTGAGCTGCACGGGTCACTTCAGTCCACAAACACAAAACTGGATTCAAGATTTTGTCAAGGAGGACACGCGCACTGTCCAGTGCCCACCAGCCGCTCTGACCCCAGCACAGCAAAGACCACTAGTGGCGTATCCTCGCCCCACCTCAGTCTTTCCTGAGTGAGGCCAGAATCCAACACGAGTCCGAGAGACCGCAATGCTGACCGCCCGGCCGGGGCCACCGACGGCCCCACGGTCCGGACCAGAGACGCCGAGCGCAAGAGCTTCCTGACAAGATGGCGAACCGGGCCGCGCTTCTTCCGAGTCTCAGCCTGTCCTCAGGTGAGTGACCCGACTCCAGTGCTCCGAGCGTATCACTCAGCCCACATTAATGCAGCTCTAGGAGCCCGGCAAAGACCACTGCTCTGGGCGGAAATCAGACCTCGCCAGTTGCTATAGATACGGCCGCGCTTGGGAGAAATCTGCGTACGCGCTCCGCGGAAGTGGGTGTGGCATAGGTGACGCAACCACGATGATGCGAGCTTACTGCGCAGGTGCGATCTCATGTCTGCGCAAGCGCAATGAGGAATAAACGTAGACGCGTGGGTCCGTGCGAGCGGGCGCAGGCGCAGTGGGGAGCGACCTCGCTGCGCCTGCGTGTTCGGGGCGCGGCGAGATGGGAGGACTGTTGACGGAGGCGCAATGGCTGCCCGTGGGTGTCAGAGGAGCGGAGTTCTCGGTTCCCTTCAGAGTCGGGCCTCCTGACGCCACCAGTGGGCGGGGCCCCCCGGGCCGTCGCCGCCGCAGTCATGTACCCGCCGCCGCTGCCGCCGTCGCCGCATCGGGACTTCATCTCGGTGACGCTGAGCCTGGGCGAGAGCTACGACAACAGCAAAGGCTGGCGGCGGCGCTCATGCTGGAGGGTGAGGGTCGCGCGAGCCCCTGCTGCCGTCTCCCTCCTGCCCGATCCCAAGAGCCCGGGCCGTCCACAGCTCGGTCTCCGCGAAGGGATTCCGGGCGCTTCCGTGTCCCATCGGGGCGGGTCTGGGGGGCGAGCTTGGCCGCCCAGCTTGTCCAGTAGGGCAGGAAGGGTTTCGGGTTCTGCTCTTCGAGTCTCGTCTCCGTGTTGCCCGCTGCGAGCCGACTTCCATCGGTTCTAAAGCGTGGCGCTGAAAGCTGAATAGTTTATGGTCCTAACCATATGGGAAGGTTGACAGGTTTCTACCTGTGTCGTTTCCATTAAAAAAAAAAACTCTTCTCCCACCTCCGACCAGAAATGGAAACAGCTGTCGCGGTTACAGCGGAATGTCCTTCTCCTCCTCGGTGCCTTTCTGATTATCTGTGGACTCCTGTCCTACATGAATACGGCTGACCACTGGAAAGGTACCTGAATCACCTGTACCTTCAAACGAGGCTTGTGTAGAGTGGCGACTTGCTCTTGGGGGTTGTCAGGTGGCTGTGCCGCCCATTGTTGAGCGAGACCACCGCATGGAGGGGCTTCCTCTTTTCCGATGACCCTCGCCGCTGTTAAGTCCAGTGGTGGCTGGTGGTTATCTTACCATCTACCTGAAACAGCTCAGAGGGCAGCTGATTGGTAGCAAATCAAAATACTCCTCTTAACGATGAGGCCTTAGAGGGGGCTTAGCTGTTGCCGTGGGAATCCTGGCGTCTCCTTCCTCTCTGCCGTGGAAACAGGCCACGAGGTGGATGCTCAATGGACAGCTATCACCTCACGTCCACGATGCCCAGTACTGCTTGGTGGGCAAGGGCCAGGCCGTGTTGTAAGGCTGTAGACCATCTCTTCTGCTGCTGCTGACTTGGGGCCGTGGAGCTCCAATGAACTGCCTGTTGGTCACCATATTGGACTCTCTGGAATTAAACCCACATTGCCAAACGTTTCGTTTTAGGATTTTCCCTAAGGTGGAACCTTTGGGAATGTGGGTTTAATTTGGACTTGGTTGGGACAAAAACTTTGAAAAACATGTGATCCCTTTGAGCAACTCTTGAATGCAACCCCGAGCCTCTCTGAGGTCTCACACTGCCCTTCCGGGATGAGTAATGCCTGTCCAGATGGTTTCCATGAGGTCCTTTCCATCTCTTTTAGGCCTCCTACCGTATTCTGTGATAAACCGTATTTTCCTGTTTAGCCCTGAATGACAGGTCGTCGGAAAAACAGAAGCTGCGAGCAGACGTGTCTGGACTGAAGCCAGCGCACCCTCCTGTCCTGCCGGCTCCCCAGACGGCGGGTGCTGCCCAAGGCTCCCCGGAGACTCCGGCTCAGGTACTTGAATGAACCATACCGTGCAGTTCAAAGGCACTTTCAGGAAATAATGTTTCCAACAGATTGAGAAGACTTACCCCTTCTAGTGGTTTGTTTGATGTTTTCTGATCTCCCTCTGTCTCATGCGAGGCTGGTGGATAGAGCCTGGGGACAGAGGACTAGCCCGTCATTCGTTGTTCTGTGAACTCCTACAATGTGCCTGTTCTCAGGTGGGGTGCTAGCTACGTGGTGTTAAATAAAACACATCCTGTCCGTTTTCTGCCAAGCTGGAGCGGCAGATGTGCCAGTGTCTCCTAAGCTCTGTGACAGGAGCCTGGCTGGCAGGTGAGCCGGCTCTGTAAGAGGCCCGGGGGCAGGGGCCCAAGGCATTGCATTGGAAAGGCTGGCGCAGTCGAAGGCTCTGCCTCAAGGTCTGCTAGGGCAGAGGTGGTGGCCTTGACGCTTCCGGTGTCTGTGCTTGGAGCAGTCTGAGGCTTGGCCATGTTGACTGAGAAGTAGGGAAACTGCTCTGTTGTCATGTGGAGACTTGCTGGGCCACAGCATGGCAGAGGGCATCACTGAACACTCCAAGGAGAAAGGTGAAGGGGACGGACTGCCCGGAGTTGGTCTGGGGGCACCCCTGTTGTGCCTGAGAAGGAGTCTGGAGTGGAGCACTGCTGGCAGAAGGTCAGTGGCCACCTGGCCCCCAGGATGTGTCTGTGAGCTGGACAGAGCGGCCGTAGTGCCTGCTGAGCCTGGGCCTGAGCACTGGCTGGCTGTAGCTTCTGTTGGTGATTTTGTAGGAGAAGCTCAGCGTGAGGCCTTGGGGGTTGGGTGCTGGTTTCATGCACCTGCAGACCTGTCCCAGAAGACCATCTGGACCATGTGGCAGTCTGAGAGCACTTTTTAGCAGTGATGTATCACACATACACACACCCCGCAGGACCCGTTTAGAAGGACAGGGAGAGCAGCACAGGTCTGGACTCTGGGACAGATTTCCGTGCTGACCCCAGAGAGACACTGTGTGCAGGGACCAGCTAGGCCTCGGACCGGGGAATGGAATGTTTCCAGATTGGGGGGGGTAGGGGGAGGGAGGCAGAAAAAAAAAAGGCAGATCAATGCAGAAAAAAAAAAGGCAGATCAATGGGGAGGAAAGCCCCACACTGTTTGAAATGGTGGCTTAATGGTAGAGTGTACGAGGGCGGGGAGCGCAGTGGCTCCGTACAGTAAGCACTGGACATGAGCCACAAGGGCTACTGTTCAAGCCCGCCGGCCAGGAGAAACCCTATTCAGGATCACTAAGACCCATGATCTGCTCGATGGAAGACCGCCGTTTTATAAAACAAGGAACAAGGCGCCCCAGCAGGAAAGTGGATGGATGCGTAGGATCAGTTTGCCTCCAGAAGAGGGACTGCTCAGAGAAAGGATCGGAATCTCGAAAACGGAAGAGCAAGTCCGTCAGCACACCGTAAAAACCAGTGGGTGATCAATCTCGTGGAGCGCGATGGGTGCGTGACTCATGGCGTGCGGTGGGTGGTCTCGCAGGGTGACTCATGAAGCACGTGTGGTGCATTTCTCCTTACGGTTCTGGTTCTAGCCGTTTTGGGCTGTGACTCCCACAGAAAGACTGTGTGGGCCTATGCAAATACGTGGCTGTGGTTTCAGTCACCCAGGGGATTGAACAGTTTGAGAACAATGCAAATAAGGTGATTGGAACCTTTAGGGGTGGAGCCATGCAAATAAGGTGTATGGGACACTAATGAGGGGATTGGTTAGTTTTGCCACTCTGCTAGATTTTCAAGGACAGGATGTGTCCTTTATTTGGACCCAAGGTTCAGTGCTGAGCACCTCCTAGACCCAGGAGACAGCTGTCCCACTGGCAGAGGCACCAGATGGTGAGTGGGCATCTGGCTTCTGGAGCAAGGTGGCTGTAGTGGGTGTGCTGACCCAAGGACTGAAAGAGCAGAACCCCTTGGGGCAGGAGGCAGAGGTAGGCTGCCGACTCCGAGTGAGAGAACTAAGCTCCTTTGCTCCAAGGCTTGCTGACAGAGTGAGGTGCCCCCGAGGACTTGATGAACATAAAGAGTTTTGTAACATGTATCCCAGGTTCAGCTCAAGAGTCCAGGTCAAGGGTAAGAGGCTTGGTGACCTCAGCCTACCTGTGACCATGGCCAGTGAAAAAAGTGGTCCTGACCCAAGAACCACACCCTGAAGTCATTTCTGATCCTGAATTGTAACTGTTGGTGTTCTTCGGCTCCATCTAGTTGATTGTTCTTCATATTGGTCCTACATCCAACAGAATGGAACACTGTGCAGCCCTGCGCCATCCACACCATGGCCTCCATGGCTCAGCCCATTGGTGCAGCCATCTTCTTAAGGGTCTTAGGCCTGGGGTGGCGCTCAGGGTTAAAGCGCCAGACTGCAAAGCCATTTGAACTGCAAGGTCGGCAGTTCAAGCTCACTAGCTGCTCCTTGGAAACTCTACACAGGGTTGCTGTGAGTCAGAACCGACTGGACAGCACCTAACAACAACAATTCTTTACCTGGAGTCCTGGTGTGGCGCTGTGGGTTAATGCGCTGGACTGCAAAGTCGTTTGAACCACAAGTTTGGCAGTTCACGTTCACCTCCAACAGTTCTTTTCCGCTAACCTTCCACTTTACCAAACATGATGTCCTTCTCCAGGGATTGGACCCTCCTGATGATGTGTCCAAGGAACGTGAGCTGAAGTGTCACCACCCTGGCTTCTAAGGAACATTCTGGCGATGATGCTTCTCCCAGGACAGCTTGTTTATCCTTCTGGCGCCTGTGGTTTTTACCAACACCGTAATTCAAATTCCTCAGTTCTTTGGTCTTTGTTATTCACCTTTTTGTTGTTGTTGTTGTGTGCCATTGGTTCGGTTCTGACTATAGGACGCTGTTCAGGGTTTCCAAGAGCAGCTGGTTACCAACCTTACAGCATCACACCAGGGCTGTTAATGTCCCTGACAAACCCCCAACTGTCAGTGTAATCTCTGAGGCCTTGGTGACCATTGCAGTGAGGTAAGGAACCCAACAAAGAAGTAAAAAGGCATGCCTGGTGTTTGAACTGGGAAAAGGGTTGGAGATACCTAAAACGCAGGCTTACTTTTGGAAGTGGGTAATGGGTAGAGGCTGGAGTAATTTTAAGGTATAGACTAGGAAAAACCTAGACTGCTTTGAAGAGACTGTTGGTAGAATTATGAACAAAGTCAAAAGCAACTTTGGTGAGGGCTCAGAAGGCAGTGAGGGACTCTCCAGAGAAAGTCTCTGGTCTTAGAGAGTACATGTGATCCCCGTACCACAATGGTTAGACATGTGGCCATAAAATGTACTTCTGCTGAGACTTAAAAGAAACGGGGAACATGCCACTGAGCGTGATGGGTAAGATTTTGATGCAGTGGCAAAGAACTTGTCTGAAATAAAGTCGAATGTTTCCTAAAAGGTAGAATTTGTAAGTGACAAACTCACTTATTTCTAGCATGATCATAATAGGGCACATGGTTTCTGCTGCTGCTTATAGTAAGATGGGAGAAGAAAGCGATCGATTGAAAAATGGAGCTGCACAAACTGAAACCGACGCTTAAAAAGACGTGGGGACTCTGTTCAAACTAAGGATGTGTATCCAAAAATGTCCCCCAGGACGTGGCTGCACAATCTTTTGTTAAAGAGACTAAGCCTATGCCTGATGCATCTAACCAGCTACCACAGTGGAAAGGCCATCAGCTTAGACGGAAGGGGACAAAAACAGGATGAAAGGAGAGAATTGGCTGCCCCTTGGCATTCCACCATCAGGAAACAAATCAAGGAGCTACATCTATGTCCTCCAAGAAATGAGGGCCTTCTGGGTCTCAGAGAGGGGGAATGTCCACAGCCTTCTCTTTGTCAGAGAGTCAGATCTTCCTAATGTTGTTCAGGAGTGTGGGTTGTTGTTAGGATGAGCCATAGGAATGGAGCCATCACCCAAAGCTGTGGTGGGAGGGCTGCAGTCCCCAAAGGGCAGACAAACAGGGCCTTCTGGGCCATCGACTCTACAAAGGCATTCAGTTATGTGGATCATGATAAGCTATAGATAACATTTCAAAGAATGGAAATTCTAGAACACGAAAGTGTGCTCTTGAGGAAGCTGTGCACAGACCGAGAGACAGCCGTTTCAGAGCAGAGCAAGGGGGACTGAATGATGTAAATCAGGAAGGTGGGTGTCTTTTCACCAGATGGCTTCAGTCTGTGCTGAGCACGTAGTTCAGGAAGCTGGAGTATGTGAAGAATAGTTGGCATCAGCATCAGGAAGAATCAAAACCCTTTGGTACTCAGATGATAAAGCCTTGCTTAATTGAGGCAAAGAGGAATTAAAGTCCTTACTGCTGGAGATCAAAGAGCACAGCCTTCAGTATGGATTGCATCTCAGTGTAAACAAAACGAAACTCCTCACCACTGGCCCAAAAAGTAGCTTCATGAGAAACAGAGAAGACTGAAGGTGTCTGATTTCATTTAGCTTGTATCCACAGTCACCACTCTAGGAAGCTTCAGGGAAGAAATCAAATGACGTATTACATTAGGCAAACGTGCTGCAAAAGACTCTTTCCAGTGGTGAAGAACAAAGATGTCACACTGAGGACTGTGGTACCCAGCCATGGTATTTTCAATAGCTTCATGTGCTTAGGAAAGCTGAACAGTGAATAGGCAAGACCAAGGAAGAATCGATGCTCTTGGATTGTGGTTTTAGTGAATAATGTTGAAGTACTGTGGACTGCCAGTAGAATGAACACATCTGTTCTAGAAGATTCCTTCTTGGAAGCGATGATGGTGAAACTTGGTCACTCTTATTTTGGACATGTTATCTGGAGGGACCAGTCTTTGGAGAAGGACGTCCTGCTTGGGAAAGTGGAGGGTCAGTGAGAGAGGAAGACTTTGAGTGAGGTGGACTGACCTGCTAGCCACAACAGTTAGGAGGGTGGGATAGGTCGGAGAGGTGGGGTCGCCTCACAGATGGATTATGGGGTTGCCTTAAGTCAACAGAGCTGAGTTGCTGTCCCATCGAGCTCGGAAGGCAGAGCTAAAGGCCGTGGCCAGGGGGTCTGCCCCCAATAGGGTGTGACCAGAACCAGCAGCTGGGGGCCAGGTTACCACCCCGATTCTTTCTAAACTTGCAGAGCTCATGTGATTTGTTCGCTGGGATGTTTTACTTGCTTGGTGCCTTCCCCATTGCAGGGGTGGCCTGCCTTGTGCCTGCTCACCATTGTGCTGTGGAGGCAGGACGTGTATTGTAGATGTGGCTGGTTCCTGATTAGGGAGATTTGCCCCAGGATGGAATGCACTGAAGTCTCACCCACATTTGATTTGGACGATTCAGAATATGCAGTTTGGAACTTGGAGTTGCTTTCACCCACAGTTTGGGATGAAGCAATGGGGTGAATGTGTTTTGCAAGTGGCAAGGACATGAGTTTTTGGAAGCCCAAGTTGAATTGAATTGTGTCCCTCAAAAATGTGTTGTGAAGCTGTCCCTCTCTGCCTTGCCGTCCCATTTGGAGTGGATTGTCTTTGCTGTGTTAGTGAGGCAGGCTTAGTGTGGGGGAAAGAGACGAGGCGAGTACACTGAGAGAGATGGGGTTAGATGATTCCAAGACCCAGGGAATGTCCAAGGAAGCAGAAACAGATGGCGAGAGCAAGCCTCTCCCAGAGCCGGCCCTTGGGATTCGGACTTCTAGAACCCCGGTTGTTAAAGCCCGAGATAACTAAGACCCTTCAACAGCATGGACTAGCCTTGGAGCTGATGGAAGACTCGAGGGTCCTGTGCTTTGGCTTTCTCTTAAAAGAGAAAGATGCATGCTTGCGCTTTATTGACTATGCGGTGGTTTTCCACACATAAGGAAACACACTTGGGAAATCTCATCAACAACCACACCTGAGTTAGATGCTGTCTTCGTTCTCTAGCGTTGCTATAATAGAAATACCACAAGTGGATGCCTGTAACGGAGATGTCTTCTCAGACAGTTCAGAAGACTAGAAGTCCAAACCCAGAGCGCTGCCTCATAGGGAAGACTTTCTCTTTTCGTTGCTTCTGGAGGAAGGTCCATGTCTCCTATCAGCATTGTAGGGTCAACATTCCTTGGCAACCATCATGCATCCTGGCATCAGTTTTCCTCCAAAGCTAGGAGCTTTACAGTGCAGGGACCCCAGGGGCAAAGGGTGTTCTCCATTCTGGCTTCTTTATTCTTGGTGATAGTAGGTTCCTCTTCTCTGATCACTTCTCTCCACTTTTATCTTTTTTTAATGTTTTATTATGAATTATGTGATAGTTTACATGGGAGAACATTAGCTTTACATTCATTCTGTCGTATATCGTTTCATTACCATGGTTACATTCCCTCCAAGCATCATCAACCAACCAAAGGGTATACACTACAAGCCTGCCCCTCAGTCGTCAGCACACAGCCCCTATCCCTCTCTGGGTCTAAGTCCCCAGCTGCTCCATCTCTCCACATCATCATCTCTGCCTCCAACTCAGGCATCACTGTTTTTCTGGGTAGGGTCCTGCTCTCTGCTCTTCTCCCTTGATGGTCCAGGGACCTCTGCTCCCAGACTGCAAAGTCAATCACTCCTCTCCTTTTACTACAAAACATCTACCTTTACATTTTCAACTCTCACAGTCAGTGCTGATAACAATTATTCACTATTGTATCACCAGAGACCTATCCGCATCTCCTTTCATGAGCCCCGCCCAGTCACATTGGATACTACTCAGTGGAGATTCTACCTTCCTCCACACCCTCTGGATCTAGGCTCCCTCTTGAAAGCTTGTAAGCCAGTCACTTCTTGCCTTTGTAGCCCCCCATTTTGGGTAGCCAATGTCCAAGTTGCTCATCCCTGTCTACTCTGTGTATGGAGGGGGTGGGAATGATCCTCGCTGTAAGGATTTGTTTCCTCCTTTGAGCTGCTGCATCCATAGGTGTAGGTCAAGTTCATCAAATTGTATCAGATTACTCTTTCCTCTTCTCTCTGCTTCTGGTTGAGCTCTGATCATCCAGTCATTGGATATTATCTGGGTATTATCTGCAAGTGTCGGTGTTCTTGTGCATATGCCCTCTCTTCTTATCAGCTGGACACTTCACTCTCCACTCTAGTCCTCTGTGGCTATGTCACTGACTCTGGGCCCAAGAGTCCCCAGGTTTTACCACACTGCCGGCCAACCAGGTCTTCACCCGGGTTCACAGAAGTCTATTGAACGTTGTTGAACTTAGCTCGCAGCTTCATTGATGTTTTTCCCTCACTTCTCCTTATCAGTGATGAATATGGTCACCAATCAGAGTGTGTATTCCCATTAAGTCTTAGTCTTAGAAGATGGTTTGCCCTGAGGGGACCCGACGACGTGCCTTTAAGTCTCCTAGATCCTGTTTTGTGGAGGAGGGAAGCACCTTTATGGGTGGCAGTGCCCAGCCCAGGGTGCAGGGACCCCACCGAGCTGTGGACAAGGCTTCTGAGGGGTGGAGGTGCTCGGGCCAAGTGGGCCCAGCTCCGGGGTGTCTCTCATGATGGTACCTGGATGTGAACAGCAGCGCTCTTTTCAGACTCAGCAGCAGCACCTTCCTGTCCACGGGCGGAGCCTCGTCTGCTCCAGGTGTGGACACTGGCCTGAGCGGGTGGGATGTGGGTGCACTGGCCCTGGGCCTTGGCCTCCTTCAGCCCCACCATTTTGGTGCCTGGAGCCCTGACAGGCACTCTGTTCTCATGGACGCTGTGTCTAGGGCCAGAGAGGTCAGTCTGCAGTGTCCCCCGTCCTGTGTGGTCTGAGCCAGGTGCCTGTTGTGTTTGAAATGGAAATCAGCCCTGAAGTCACCTGTGACAGGCCAGTCCACATGCTGCCTGCCCTTGAAGGGCGTGCAGTGTCCTGGATTAAAGACTAGTACCTGGGAGCTGCCTAAGTGTCCCCTGTGACTTCATTTTTGTGTAGATGCCTCGGAAGCACTTCCGACGGGGGCCCCCCAGCCTGCAAATCAGGGCCCCTGATAAAGGCGGCAAGGATTGGATTCGGGACGGCACGGAGGAGGCGAGAGGCCACCAGGAGGGACGGCTGCAGAGAACTGTCATTAGGTACGAACACAGCGAGCAAGGGGCTCGGAGCAGGCCCCAGCTCCCAGGCTGAACCAAGCTGAGACACAGATCAGGAGCTATAATGGCTTCCCCAGATTCCCGCAGGACAGCCCAGCAGGCACTGCGGTCTCCTGGTGAGACTGTAGTTGATGAGGAAACTGGAATTTGAGAGTGCACGTCAGCAGCTCGGTCCTCAGCCCCTGACGGCTCAGGGCTGTGTGTGAGGGAACCATGGGACGGGGTCCCTGGCCAGAGACATTTAGTTCTGAACTCTGGGTTCCAGTTAATTCAAGGGGGTCCCTTGAAGCCTGACCCTCCAGGTCCATGTTGATGCGACTTGTCCACTGCATGCATTCTTCCTGGTTGGGGTCAGCCTCTGTCTGGTCGAATGTTGTGGAGGAGAGGCTGTGTCCGAGGGGCTGGCATGTTGACATCCCGCCCACGGTGAGCGAGCACAGAGATACTGCCTGCTGGGAGGCCTGGGAACAGTGCTGAGAGCAGGGCTGACATGGGCCCAGCAGCCTGGCGTCCCGGTGAGCCCCAGTTCATGGTGCAGCCACTGCGCTGACGCATGCACTCGCCGCTCACCCTTTCCCACGGCAGCTGGAGAGGAGCCATGATTGAGCCTGAGCAGGGTACTGAAGCCCCCTCCAGGAGAGCAGACAGCCCCTCCAAGCACCCAGCCCCAGAAGCCAAGACTCAGCAGGCATCAGGTAAGGTCCTGACATCCGGATTCGTGTCCCCAGCCCCCACAGCCATCCTGTGCCTTAGCTTCTGTCTCTCTGGGACCTTAAAGAACTGGCATGTCCTGTCATTGCGTCTCCCTGGTGACAGGAGGCAGCAGCTTGCTGACCTCTGTCTGCGGCCATGGGGGCTGTGAGACCTGAGTGACTTCACTGGATCTCTAGGCCGACACAGGGCTTCCCGGGATCAGGGACCACAGGGCCTCGTGGGTCAGCACTGAACAGCATGGGCTCCGTGCTGCACGGGAAACTGATGCTTATGTGCACCCCTTCCCTACCCATGCTGTGCTTCTGGGGGATCTCAGGACCCCCAGTGAGTGGCCCTCTTGACCCTGCAGCTCCCCTGAACAAGCGCCAGAAGGCGGTGGTGGACGCCTTCCTGCACGCATGGAAGGGCTACCGCAAGTACGCGTGGGGCCACGATGAGCTGAGGCCCGTGTCCAGGTCCTTTGTCGAGTGGTTCGGCCTTGGCCTCACCCTGGTCGATGCCCTGGACACCATGTGGATTCTGGGCCTGACCAAAGGTACTTGCCGCTCCCGGGTGGCCGGGGAGGAGATTGAGTGGGGTCTGTGTTGTGTCCACCTTAGCTGCAGCTTGTGTGGGGGTCTGGCTCTCAGAGACCCGTGGTCATCGAGTCGATTCTGACTCGCAGCGACAACTGTAGGACAGAGTAGAACTGCCCCAGAGGGTCTCCATGGACACAGACGGCGGGTGGGTTTGAACCACCGACATTTGGTTCGTAGCTGCGCACCTCACCACTGCGGCACCAGGACTCTCTAAGCAGCATCTACAGTTAGTTGTGAATCGATGTTTTCAGCTTCCCCAACGTTTCTGAACACTTGAACGCCCCAGTGAAACCACTTTCATGGTCCTTAGTGTGATGGTCTTTGGTGACCATGTGTAGTGTTCTTGTGTAGGGACGTCCCCACCTGCACTGCTGGCCTCCTCTCATCTGTACACGTGGGGACCCCCTGGGAGTCAGGAGCAAACACCCCCAGTCAGCACGTGGGCCCAGAGAACCTGAGGAGGTCCCTGCAGGAGCCCCAGTCGGCATCTGCTGTTGTTCAGTGCTGTCGAGTCGGTTCTGACCCATAGCGACCACTTAGAGTGTTTCCAAGGAGCGTCTGGTGAGCTTGAACCACCGACCTTACGGGTCAAACCGACTTTACAGTCCAGTGCATTAACCCCCAGCGCCACAGCAGGGGTCCAGTCAGCACCTAGACCTGGAGGATGTGGGGCTGGCTGTGGAGCCCCCAGAACACAGGGAGGCCCGTACAGGAGCTAAGCCCATGCCCCCACGTAGACCCCAGAGTGCAGGGAAGGGCAGGGCCGCTTCTTGCCTCCTGGAACCTATGTTGTTTGTGTCCTAGAGTTTGAAGAAGCCAGGAAGTGGGTGTCCCAGAAGTTGCAGTTCCAGAAAGACGTGGATGTCAACCTGTTTGAGAGCACGATCCGGATCCTGGGGGGGCTGCTGAGCACATACCACCTGACTGGGGACAGCCTCTTCCTGGAGAAAGCCGTGAGTGCCTGAGGCCCGGGCTGCCTCTTACACTGGGACCCTGAGACGGTTGTTCACATTCGGATAACCTGAGTGTGTATCTTGAGGCCCACAGACACCAGGCACTCGGCCGCATGCGCTCTAGCTGATTTTTGCTGCAGCTGAGTTTGGGGCGGTGTGGGAGCCCCCTGCCCCTTCTCCTCTCCTGAGTGGACGGAGCAGGTGACCCGTTTGTTCTGTGATGTGTGGCCAAGGCCTTGTTCTCTGCTCTTCTTCCTCAGAAAGATTTTGGAAATCGGCTCTTGCCTGCATTCAGGACTCCCTCTAAGATTCCGTTCTCATATGTGAACATCGGCACTGGCAGTGCCCACCCTCCACGGTGGACCTCAGACAGCACGGTGGCCGAGGTGACCAGCATTCAGTTAGAGTTCCGGGAGCTCTCTCGTCTCACAGGAGACATGCACTTCCAGGTACAGCAGGAGGAGCTAGGGGCAGCTGGAGCAAGTCCAGGGAGGGTAGAAGGTATCGGGGGAGCATCTCAGCATCTCAAATAGCACTGAGCCCTCCTGATGGCGTGGCTCTGGAGAGAATGTCCATGCCCAGGTGTCCTGTGCTGCTTCACGGCCACAGCTGCTGGGTCATGTGATGGCCCTATGTTCCACTCTTTGAGGGGCCACCATACTGCATAGTGGCTGCACCATTTAAGCTCCCTCAACACTGGATGAGGCTTCCAGTTTCTCCAGTACCTTGCCTGTGCTTTCCTGGGATAGTTTTGTTTGTATCCTTGGCATTCTAACGGAGGTGAGGCGTGTCTCTGCGGTTTGATTGGCATTTCCCTCTGGGCACAGGGCTGGGCAGTGTTCCCTTCTGTTGCACAGTTGAGTTGGAACTGACTCCTAGGCACCTAACAGCACCTGACAGTGGAGTGCTCTCTGCAAGGTCAGTGGTTCAAACCCACCAGCCGCTCCATGAGAGAAAGATACGGCTGTCTATTCCCATAGAGAGTCGCAGTTCTAGCCTGACCTGTGGGGTTGCTGGGAGTTGAAGTCGCCTGAAGGGCGGGCAGTGGGTTTTCCTTGTGATGGTTCATGAAGGAGACCTGTTGCACAGTTGTATAAACACGTGGGTGTTACCAGTTAGCTGCTCTGTGGGAGTCTACTTCTATTAACATGTTGTTGTGAACTGCTGTCAAGTCGGTTCTGACCCATAGCGACCCTGTCTAGGATTTCCAAGGAGAAGCTGGTGAGCTTGAACCGCCGACCTTCACAGCGCCTCCCCAGGACGCCTGTCAACACTTAGAGGGAGAGAGAGAGCAGCAGTGTCTCTATGTGTGTACTTATTGGCCGCATGTATGTCTGCGTTGGAGGCGTGTCTTTTCAAAGCCTTGCCCCATTCCGTAATTGGGTCTATTTATTGGTACATTTTAGAAGGTCATTATATATTCTGACAAGTAGGTGATTATCAGGCAGATGTATATTTGGCACAGATTTTCTCCATTCTGTGGGTCATCTGTTGGTTTGTATCCTTCAATGGACACTCTATCTGTGTTGAGAATTTACACAAGAGGACAGACAGCAGTTTAGTAATTTCTCCAGAGAGTGCTCAGTGCCCCCACTCTTGCTGTCTGTGTCCCTGACATTGCCTTTCCCCTGAACCTCTCACCTCTGATAGCGGCCCATGATCTTTAGTTGGATACATTTGTGTACTCCATGTAAGATTGTGTAGTATTTGTTCTTGTGAGGCTCATTGATTTTGCTCCCCGCTTGAGGCCATTTTGAGACTGTTCTTGTGTGTGGTCCCAGCCCTTTGCACGTGGAGACCCAGGTGTCCTAGCTCCCATTTATGGAAAAATGATTCTTTCCTCACGGAACAGACTTGGAAATCAACTGACCTGAGACGTACAAGTGTAGTTCTTTATAAAAATACTATATTTTATACAAGTAAAAGTACTGTAGGAGTCCTGGTGTGGCACTGTAAGATACACACTGGACTGCTGACCAGCCGCACCTTGGAAACCCTATACAGGGCTGCTTATGTGTTGGAACTGACTCGACAGCACTTCACAGCAGAGCACCCATCAGTGTTCCCTGCCACTTATTCAGCTGCTTTGTGCATTATGTGTGTGGGCGCGTTCTCTGTGAAAATGCCTCTATGTCTGCTCTTGAGCAGGTGCCACAGTGTCTTTACTGGTGCTTTGTGGGCAGTTTGAAGCCAGGAAGTATGAGTCGTTGAACTTTGTTATTTTTCCATGTTTGTTTGTTTATTTGTTAACTATCTTGGGTCTTTTACATTCTTGTGTGGATTTTAGTCCCGACCTGTCAATTTTTGCAAAAAAAAAACCCAGCTGGACTTTCAGTGGAGACTGTATTGACGCTGTTAAATATTCTAGCCTAGACGTGGAAAGCGTCCCCCTTTATTTAGGTCTTCCTTAGGTTCTCTCGGTGGCATTCTGTAGTTTCCTGCCGGGGGCCAGCCTCAGCAAACTAATTCAGGGTTTCCGAAGGCGGATATGGCGTCGGCGGGAAAGAATCACACAGAGTCTATAGGTCGTGATGAATTCAAAATCTTCTCTCTTACATGCTTTATTCTCCTCTCATTCTTTATTCTCCTCTCATTCTTTACTCTCCTCTCATTCTTTACTCTCCTCTCATTCTTTACTCTCCTCTCATCCTTTACTCTCCTCTCATTCTTTACTCTCCTCTCATTCTTTACTCTCCTCTCATTCTTTACTCTCCTCTCATTCTTTACTCTCCTCTCATTCTTTACTCTCCTC